GCTGCGACCTCCTGGCTAGAGTTCCCACTCCTCAGGGCAAGGGCTCCATTTTCCACAGGAACAGGCTTTTGTGAAAAAGGTGCCAGCTTTCTTTTTCTTAAAACACATAGATCATGGCAATGCTGTCCCCATGTGATAAGTCACACAAGTGGCCCTGAAAGCACTAAGAGAATAAGGTGATCTATGGGCTGAAAGCATCTCCAACCACCCTTCCTCTCTCTAGCCCCTTGAACAGAACCCAAGAGCTTATAGTGGATAGAGTGAGTACAGTATGTTTTGGGATGAGTGTTAAGAAACAATGTGAGGAAGTGCTTTCAGGTGGGGAATTTTATGCTTTAGATAAAGTCCAGCCCCATCTCTGGCCACTGATTGACATTAATAGATCTAGAGCTGAAAGAAGCCTAAGAGGCCATTTACTCCAACCATTATACATATGACAATGTGAAGCCCATAGAAGTTAAGTGACCTGCTCAAGCCCATTCAGAATAAGCATCAGAAGTGGGATTTGAAACCAGCTAGCTACTCTGGATTCCAGAACCAGGGTTCTTTTCACTGCACAATGTCCTCCTCACCCTTGACGGTGTACCTCAAATGCTGTCTTCTCTCTGAAGCCTTCATTGAGCTGGAAGTGGTTCCTTTCTCATCTGATTGCATGGCATTTTTTATTCACAGGTTTGGTGTGGGGAGGGGAAGCTTGTAAACTTTTATATAGCTTTATATTATTTATATATATATATGTGTGCATGTAAATAAATATTTATTTATATATGAATGTGAGTTATGACTATTCTCATTCTATTGTTATCTGAAATTTACATAATGCTTTATACTTTATGGTGTAGCTGGGTGGCATGGTAGATAGAGTGCCAGGCCTGGAGTCAGGAAGATTCATCTTCCTGAGTTCAAATCTGGTCTCAGAAGCTTACCAGCTATGTTACCCTAGGCAAGTCATTTAAACCTGCTTATCTTAGTTTCCTAATCTGTAAAATGAGCTGGGGAAGGAAATGGCAAAGCACTCTGGCATCTTTGCCAAGAAAACCCCAAATGGGGTCACAAAGAGTTGGACACAACTGAAAAATGGCTTGACAAGAAAAACAACAACTTATGGTTTACATAATGCATTATCTGTGTTTTTCTTATCTCCTCTTATGACATTATAAATTCCTTGAAGCCAGAAACAGTAAATAATTTATCTTTTTATATCCAGTGCCTAGGACAGTACTCTGCACATAGTTGGTATTTAGTAAATATTTTTCCATTAAAAGTTGAATTAATGGCTGTCTGTGACAATGGTCCCTAAATTTTTGATTGTACATCTCTATCAGTAAAAAAAAATATTTGTTATTGAACTAATTATTATGTATATTGTAAAAGTTACAAAATTGAAATTAAAGGAGAATGAAATAATGTTTGGTCCTAGAGGGAAGGGAATGGAAGGAAGAGAAAGAATAATTATTTTATTAAATACCTTCTATGTGCTAGTACTATGATAAGTGCTTCATAAATACTATCTCATTTGATTCTCACAATCATCTTGGGAGGTAGGTGCTATTATTATCATCCTCATTTTACCACTGAGGAAATTGAGGTAAACAGAAGTTAAGTGATTTGCTCTGGGTCACACAGCTAGTTAGTGTTTGAGACCAGATTTGAACTGAGGACTTCCTAACTCCAAACCCCACATTTGTTCTACTACTCCAGAGAAACTGGAGTTTATCGGGTATGAGAGTGACATGGTCATAATTGTGCTTTAGGAAAATACTTTTGACAGCTGTATAGAGGATAAAATAGAGTTGGGAGAAATCCAAGGCAAGGTGAGCAATTTAGGGGCTATAGAAGATAGTCCAGGTGAGAGGAGATGAGGGTATGGATTAGGATGGTGACTAAGTGTGTAGCGAAGAGGTAAGTTTGGGAGATGTTTGACAACTAATTAGATATGAGGGGCGAAGGGTGAGTGAGGAGTTGAAGATGACATCGAGGTTTTGGCCTGGGTGACTGGAAGAATGGTGATGCCTTCAACAGTAAGACAGGAATAGGAAAGTTTGGAAGACAGATGAATTTGGGAAGGGAAAATATTGTAATGTATGTGATCTGTCACAACCTATCTGTTTATTCTGTCCCATCCAAAATGAAAAGAGGGGAAGGGCAGGGTTCTTACTTAGTAGTCACTACCCAGTGTGCAGAGGCAGCCCTCCAAAGGAATGCCTGCCAAAGCCATGAAGTAGTCTGGAAGACTTTAGCCATTAGCTAAAACACCAAAAAATCCAAAGATAAACTACACTAAATACATTTTTCCAGCTTAGGGCCACGTAAAGAGACAGCCAAAAGTCTGCAGGCATTCAGGAAGTAAACCAGCCAGAAAAGTCTGGATTCTGAATGAAGAATAGGGAAGCCTTCTAAAGCATAAAGCAGGAAGGAGCCAGGGATGGGAGCAGGGACACCTGGAGTCTACAGTTTGATGACTCTGACCCTTGTCTGGGGGAAATGGGTTTGGGAGCCTATAGGACTTAGATTGGTAGGGCAATGATCAAGCCTCCTGGCACAGCTTGCTGGGTTGGGTCACTTCTGAAGTTCTTGAAGAACACAGTGCTCACAGTGAAGAAACCATCAGGACAAAAGACAAAACAGATGCAAAAAAGGTCCCACCATTGCTTCTAGACATGCACAGAGCCTGCCCTTGACACAAAATCCCAATGCAGAAAGTAAGGCTGGAAAATGAGTAAACAAAAGAAAAAAAATCAATGCTAAAGAATATCATGGAGCCAGGGATGCCCAAGACACAACTCCAGAAGAAGATGATAACTCTACACACACTACAAGCAAGACGTCAAACAAAAACAGAGCTTTGCCACAAGCTTTACTAGAATTCCCGGAAGAAATGAAATGATTTTTTAAAATGACATTATAAATGAAATGAGAGCTTTAGAGAAAAAAAGGAAATGAAAGTTTGAGGAACTTGTAAGAGAATAATCAGCTTACTCAAGTAACAGATTCCCTAAAAATTAAATTGGACCAAACAGATCAAAATCAAAGACTCCATGCGATAACAAGAAATAATAGAACAAAATCAGAAAAAAAAGAATAGAAGAAATGTAAAACATCTCCTATCAATAGAATTGATCTAGAAAACAAAATCTAAGAGTTGTCAGACTACCTGAAATCCTCAACCAAAATAAAAATGTAGAGAATGTGTTCCAAGAAATCATGAATGCTACCCAAAACTAAGACAATCAGAGGGCAAAGTGAAAATAGAGAGAATCCACTAGCCACTTCCTGATAGAAAGCCCAAATTCAAAACTCCCAGAATTGCCATAACCAAAATCCAGAATTTTTATATCAGAGAAAAAAAAATACTACTAGAAGCCAGAAAGAAAGAGTTCAAGTTCCATGAACTACGTACCAAGAAACCATAGTCAGGACCATATAAAACCTGACGTCTACCACTATAAAAGACAGAAAAGTTTGGAATGCACTATTCCAGAAGGCAAAAGATAAAGGCTTATAAATCAAGAATAACTCATCCAACAAAACTGAACATAAGGTCAGCTAGGTGGCGCAGTAGATAGAGCACCAGCCCTGTAGTCAGGAGGATCTGAGTTCAAATCTGGCTTCAGTCACATAACACACACTAACTGTGTGACTCTGGGCAAGTCACAACTTCAATTGCTTCACGAAAACCAAAACAAAACAACAACAACAACAAAAAAAAATCTGAATATTATCCTGCATGAAGAAAATGGGCCTTAAATAAAATAAGATTTCTAAGTATTCCTGATGAAACAATTAGAGCTCGACAGATATTTTAAAATTTAAAAAAAGAGTCAAGAGAAGGTTTCCAATTTGACGAATTGGAGGGGATTATATAATGAGAAGATTTTTACATTCTAAGAGAAAGAAGAAAAAAAAAAACACAGGGGCTCCCACAGAGTTGTAATGTCTCCAAGCATCTTAAAGAGAGTATATAAGACATATGGCCTTGGAGAGGTTTTGTTATGTTTTTATCCTCTTAGAGAAAAAAGGTAAGGGGAAAGAAATACCCTATAGAAGAAAGAGAGTGGATGGGGACAGTACTTGTTATCCCATCTAATCAGGATGCTTAAGAAGACTATCAAACATGGAAGAATATATAAGGAATAAGGCTACATCTGAACCAGACAAAGAATTGTTGAACACTCATTCACAAAGAATTTGGTATAGAAATAAGTTAAACTTAACAACCGGGAATTTTTTGGGGGGAAGGATTTAGAAAGAAGGTAAGTCCAGGGAAGAATTAGTCACAAGCAAAACAAACTTTACCTTCAGAGGATGGATCAGGAAGAAACAAATAAAAAGAAAAGAAGGTGGGTTCTGGGAAGTTAGGTGTAGTACCAGATCGCTAGGCCTGACTTTATCAATAACTAGCTGTATGACCTCGGTCAAACCTGCCACTTCTCTGAACCTTTTCCCTCATTTATAAAATGAGCTGACTGAACTAGATAACTTCAGATAATCTAGCTCTGAAATGTTATGATTCTGTGTAGTGAGATTCAGAGATGGAAGCGTCTGGGGAAATAATAACTAACATTTATATAGTGTTTACTACATGCCAGACACTGTGCTAAGCACTTTACAACTATTATCTCATTTGGTGCTCACAACAGCTCTGAGAGATAAGCCCATTATTATTATTATTATTATTATTATTATTAATATTAATATATAATAATAATTATATGTTATTATATGTTATATTATTATAATAATTATATAATAGTAATAAATATTACTACTAATAATTAATCCCCATTTTACAGATGAGGAAACTGATGCAAACAGAGGTCAAAAGTGCCTTGTCGGGGTCACACAGCTAGCAAGTTTCTGAGGTCAAATATGAACTTGGGTCTTCCTGACTCCTGGCCAAGGTTCTCTCCACTGTGTCACCTACTTGCCTATATGAGACCTATACACATATTAAAATACACATATGTATGCCCTGGAGAATGAAAATATATGTCAAAGTGTCATGTATCCTAGAATATTATAGGAAAGTAAGATTTTAAGGTTCAAAAGTCTATTTCAAAAAAGTCACAAGATCTGGCCGTTCCAATTTGACTTTTTTTCCCCCTACCATGGGTATGGGTAAAGGGGACTAGCATCAGTAGTGAACTTGGTGAGAACGTTGGAAAGGAAATATGGACTCCTGTGTTCTTTTTCCAGTTTTGACCTTCCCTGTTCATGATCCGAAATCAATCACTTTTCTTCTTTGTGCCTCGCTTTTTTCTCTACCTGTAAAATGATGAAAAATAACTTTTACCCCAGATAGATAAGAGAACCCTCAGGGCCCTGAAAGGGACCTCAGAAGTACAGGGTTTCTCCTTTAATGCCCCCCTCACTAGCTACTTATTTATTATACAGCTATTTCCCTTACTAATCTAGCTGCTGTTGGGACCACCTAGGCCTCTGGTCTCTGCTTGCTCCCTTCTTTTTGTCTAGAGGAAACATCCTCTGCTTCAGTTAAACTAGTGTTCTCATTGCTCCTCTGTCCACACCATGCTGTTCTTGTCCCTTTCTCTTTGCTCACGTTCCTCACATACATTCTTGAAATATCCCCTTCCCTCCACCTCCATTCTAACTCCATAAAACCTACTGATCCTTTAAGACTCAGTTCAATTCCTATTACCACCCTGAAGACTTCCTTCCCCAGCTATTCTAGTTCCCCAATTGTTCTCTCCTTTCTCTGACTTAGATTGGTAAGGCAATGATCAAGCCCTCTGACATGGCTTTCTGGCTTGAGTCACTTCTGAGGATCTTGACAAACACAGTGATCAGTCCTGGGAAAAACCATCAGGACAAAAGACAAAACAGATCAAGGCCAAAAAAAGGTCCCACCATTCCTTCTGGACACTCACAGAGCTTGGCCCTGACCCAAAATCCCAATGCAGAAAGTAAGGCTGGAAAATGAGTAAACAAAAGAAAAAAATTAATGCTAAAGAATATTATAGAGCCAGGAATGCCCAAGACACAACTCCAGAAGAAGAAAACTCCACAACTACAAGTAAGACCTCAAACAAAAACAACTTTGCTGCAAGCTTCACGAGAATTCCTGGAAGAAATGAAATGAGTTTTAAAAATTATGTTATAAAGGAAGTGACAGCTCTAAAGGAAAGAATGGGAAATGAAAATTCAAGGAAAGAACTTATCTGTACTATTTATATACTTGTATAGTTCTTTAGACTGTAGGATTTTTGAGGGCAGGACCTATCTTCTCTTTCTTTGTTTACAGCATAAAGCTTAGTGCACTTAACAAATGCTTATTGAATGGGACACAACGGGTGCCATGGAATTGGACTTGGAGCTGGGGAGTGGGGAGGAACTTGACTTTATCCACGATAATCACCTTTCTCTTTCTTCTTCCTTATTTCTTCCTTTTGGCCTCCTTCCTCCCATCTTGTCCTTTAGTCAGTTAATAAACATTTATTAAGTGTCTCCTGTATGCTAGGCACTGTGCTAATCACTAGGGATACAAAAAGAGCCAAAAGATAGCCCCTGTCCTCAAGAAGCTCACAATCTAATGTTCTCCTTACTGACTGATTTCTCTCTGCCTTGGGCCTCTCAGCAGCAGCTAGTTGCTTTGTTCTGCCAAAGACATGCAGGACTGGGGAGATTGTGGGCTACTGCACCCAGCCTTTGTCTCTCAGCTCAAAGCAGAGAAAAGGAGATTTCAAAATCGAAATTTTCTCAACTTAGGGTGATAACACTCAAATAAATGTCCATTGGCCAGGGGGAAAGCAGAGGAACAGGGAAGGGGAGAGCACGCTGGCTGCTGGGTTTTTATATAGTAAAAGGTACTCTGGTCTGAAAGTTGAGACCTAGACTCAACCACCCACCTCTGGGCAGTAACTTGGCCTCTCAAGAGGAATTTCCCTAGGATCAGACTAAATGATCTCTGAAGTCCCTTCCAGCTAAAGTTGCCAACTAAAGGCTAGAAAAATTCAGTCAAGAATGGGAGTAACTCACAAAAAGGGAGGGGTGTGTGTAAGCAGCTTCTGAAGACACAGCTTAAATCCCACCTCAACCTGAAGCGGCTCTTTTCCCAGGTTTCCTGGAAATCCTGGAGGGCAAAAGATTCTAGACCCAGGTACAGATGGGGAGGTAAGGGGGAGGTGTCACCCTGTCCCAAAACAGCAGAGCAGGTGAGCCAGGGATTGTTACAAGGAGATTTACAGCTGTTTCTCTCTTGTCCTTGCCAGCCCAGCTGTTCAGGACCAGCCTGGCTATTGGCAGAGAGCCTCCCCATCTAAAATTAGCCTCCGGCTCTCCACCCAGGCAATTCCACTATACTGGCAGACAGGAGCCCTGTGGTGAAGTAATGACTGGGGAGCTGCTGCTTCAGAGCAATCTTGGTGCTGGAAGAAGACAGCGTCAGCCACAGGGCACTGGAGATGGAGAGAAAGGATTAGAACAGCAACAACCAGGGAAGGCCCCATCTTCAAATCATGTTTAACCTAACGCAGGGATCCAGGAGTGGCCAAAATTCCTATGCCAAAGAGAAAGCTCAGAAGTGGAAAGAAGAGAGGTCAGTTTTGCCTCTGTGTCAGGAGAGAGAATAAGAAAAAGAAAAGAAGGAGGGGAGAGAGAAGGAGGAAAGGAGGGAAAAAGAGAGAGGGAGGGGGAAAGAGAGAGAAAAGGGAAGTCAGGGAGAGACAGGGAGTAAAGAGGGAGAAAAGAGGAAAGGGAGGAAGGGAGAGACAGAGGGAAGGAAAGAGAAAGAAAGAAAGAAAGAAAGAAAGAAAGAAAGAAAGAAAGAAAGAAAGAAAGAAAGAAAGAAAGAAAGAAAGAAAGAAAGAAAGAAAGAAGAAAGAAAGAAAGAAAGAAAGAAAGAAAGAAAGAAAGAAAGAGAAAGAGAAGGAAAGAGGGAGGGAGAGAGAGAAAGAGAGAGGGGGAAGGAAAGAGGAAGGGAGGGAGAGTGAGAGAAAAGAGAAGAGAAGAGAAGAGAAGAGAAGAGAAGAGAAGAGAAGAGAAGAGAAGAGAAGAGAAGAGAAGAGAAGAGAAGAGAAGAGAAGAGAAGAGAAGAGAAGAGAAGAGAAGAGAAAAGAGAAGAGAAGAAACGTGTGTGTGTGTGTCTATGTGTTCCATCACCTGGCTGGCTGACAGTGGTGCAGAAAAGGAAATTCTGGGACTGCCTGACCAAGGAAGTACCAGTGTTAAGAATGGGACCCAGGTCTGTGGGCTCCTAGGCCCTATCTAAGACAGATGGGGAAGACACAGAGCTTACTTTCTTGGCATTTTCTACTAGGGAACCCTTTCTAATTCCTCAGAGCTGGAACCCTATAAATTTGACTCATCTATTCCTACCTCTAGTCCCCCAGGCTTGGCCCCTGACAGTCTGGTCAGGAAGCCTGTGGTGGGGAGCTGGCCAGAGAGCACTGCCAATGCCATCCCACCCACCCTGCCAGACCAGGCACACAGTGTTTATGTGGTAGGTGCCTGGCAGGGAGACAAGGAGGGGGCGAACCCAGTAGCACTGAAGAGGAGAAGGGGAGGGAAGACCAGGAAGTCTGTGTGGTGGAAGATGATCTGCAGTCAGGATGTAAAGGAATATTACTGCCCTAACTCTCCAGCCAGAGGCTCTAAAGGGACACTAGTCCCCTCAATACCCATAGCTCTAAGTATCAGTCCCCTCCCCACCCCTGCTGAAGTCATAGAAACATGGAATCTTAAAGCTGGAAAGAATTTCAGGTCATCTACTCCAGTGGTTTCCAGACTTTATGTAACACTGCCCACTTCCCCCCCAAAAAAACAATTGCCACATGTCTCCCCCAAGTACTTTTCATAAAATAACATAAGCAAATAATTTTCTTAGTTCCTATTTTATTCAAATAAAAGTAAGGATTTATTGTGATTTATATGACATAAATTAAATATATTCATCAACAACCATTTAGTAAGTACTTAATAAAATAATGAAGAATACTGAAAAACGTTGATAAAATCATTTATAATTTCATAGTTATAAAATAATGGTAATGTTAATGTGATAAAAGGCTCATTTTTTGGTGCAAAGTTTCCAAAACATGTCATTGATGATATTGCTACTGCTAATTTTTTCAATAAGTGATCATGATTGTTAACAGCAGAAAAGCCCATTTCATACAAATTAGATGTTATTAAAAAGTAGTAAAAGTTCTATCATTTGTTTTGCTAACTCAGAAAATTCTTTATTTGCCTATAGTCAAAATATAATAAAATTTTCAAGTTGTTCAAATGATGGTTACAATATATTGTCACGAGACAAGTCTAACATCCATTCTTATTCAGACAGGATAAGTCCAATGTATTATGCTTGCTCATGGAAAATAAGTTCCTCATATATTGATATTTAGAAATATCTAGGTCTTTTAAAAAAAAGAAAATTGCTCGTGTAGAACAATCAAGTAACTAAAAAACAGTTTTTTACTTTTTCCTATTGCATCAGCAGGTAGCTTTTTTTAAATTGAGAAACATCAAAAATATTATTTTATAAATATGTAACATTTAACTTTTTCATAAATTTAACCATTTCATCTTTATGAATCAGAGTATGAATTTTTGGATCTTGCATTAATTTATTTAGAGTACTCAGTTTTTCAAAAATATGTATTATGTATGTATATATAAATGAATAAAAAAGCATTTATTAACTGTTTACCATGTACCAAGCACTGTGCTAAATACTGAGATACTAAAACAAAATGAAATCTGCCCTCAAGAATCTTCTAACAGAGGAAGATACAACATATGGAGAAACTATGTTCTAATAAAGAGAGACAATAATTTATATACCCCAATGAGGAGTATTTGGGTTTGGAATATTATTCAGTTAGTGAAAACATCCTTAGGATGGTAGACTGGCACAGACCTTCCGGGAATAATGACACTATTGATTTGATTTTGGTTTCAAAACCGGAAAATAGGAGGAAGGAGAAGAATGGTTTATGCGTGCAAGGCAAGGTAGCTGTAAAGAAGGTGAAGTAAAAGCTGAGAAAAGTATGACTGGGGTACACCTCACTCTTTCAGTAAGCCTGTAAAGGTACTTGGCAGTCAGCCCACAGAGCTCCAGGGCTGGAACTCCAGAGATGAAAGGGATAAGTGCTCCGGACGTGATTTCTAGTCCATTAAATACGAAAATTTTGTTATAAAATGAATTTGTTCCAACTTTATTAGTTGGAGAAAAATGGCAATTTCCTCACATAATTCAAATACATCTCAAAGTATTTGGGCACAAGAAAGCCAGTGCGATCTGAAAT